GATGGATGGATGGATGGATGGATGGATGGATGGATGGATGGATGGAGAGAGAGAAGTGTACGTATCAGCGAAGGAGCAGGTTCAGTCATTTTCAACCACATGGGCAACGGGGCAGTGGGTAGAGAACCAGACCTTTCATGAGCGCCAGGCAGTTGCAGACCTGAACAACTAGGCGATTGCACAGGCTCAACAAGATTTGCACACCAAAAGCATTCATGATCCCACAGGACGCTGGCACATGCTGGCACCAAGATTGCTAACACCACCGTGCGATTGTCAAGCAACAAAATCCCCAGAAGCTTGTTGTCATTGGTGTCTTCGAGGTTTGTTCATGTGTGGCTCTTTACGTGTTTTACATGACATTGCTGCAGGCATGAGCGTTGCAAGCCTTGAAGTGGAATGCCCCCAACTCTTCATGCATTGAGATTGACTTGCCCAACAAAGTGTCGTTTCAATTTCATGCCATGGAGCAATGGAATGCAAGGATTGTTGAAGGCTGCGAAAGCCGTGTAACTTGCCTGAACATGCATCCATACTGTCTGCAATCGTGGTTTCAACTCGTTCAACTCGCAGAGTGCGTCAGTGCGTCCGCTTATATACAACTCTTGCAGTAGTGTGTTTCCCCTTTTTGTCCTATCCATTTTACAGCAATTTGATTCAAACATGTTGAAACCCGGGATGCACAGAATCAACCCCCAAGATCACTAGATTTAACTAGATCTATTGGCGAGTCAGTATTCCTGGCGAGCGGCACTTGGCATCTCCCCTTTATTGTGAGAACAATGGTGAGAAAAATGAGGGCCTCCCAACCTTCTAAACATGGAATTGCCAAGAAAAACTCTACTATAATTTAAACAAGGAGTTTAATCTCGAGAAAAGCAACCCATGATGACACAGACGAGAGGCCCTGACATATTTAAAAACATATCAATGCGTTTGATGAACAAACACATGTTTGGCCTGGAACCCCCCCACAATGTTCCAAACCAAGAACTTCTGGGGTACATATCTTCGAGATACCATTTCACTCTTCGCCCCATCCTCGCACACCTGCCGAGCCGCTCCGAATTCTTCAAACCTCCCGCGCCCGACCCACGACCTGAGGTTCTGAGTGTGCCCAACACACCCCGGCCACTTTGGCCATCGCCAGTGCTGTGGTCAACTTCACCGCGGTGGTCGCTGAGCCTTGGCGGACGGCCAAATGGCCTGAGAATAGCAAGACAAGGTGGAGAACATCGATCTCTTCCGGGGATTTCATGAAAAAACAATGCCAGTAATCCCAGGGCATCCAGTTACCACGATGTCGCTGGTAACCAGTGGTTCCAAAGACTAAACCCATAGACCTAGTATAGTGGTAACTGTCGGGGTGCCCTGTCTGGAGACCTGTAAGTAGTGTGGAGATATCCATTGGTGACCCCGAAAGGAAGTAGCTGGTTTGAATGTATTTGATGATATCTGTTTCATCAGGCAGAGATCCAAGTTGTTGAGATTTGGTCGATTCAGTGTTTCAACTAGAACAAGACTGCTGAGTCACACCTTTCAGGTTTTCAGAGATTTCCTTGCGTCCTACCCCTGAACCGCCGCTGCCCATTCGCTGCTGCAGGATCCCAAGCCCGAAGCAACCACGCGTTGTAATGCCTCACCGCGTGCAACGCGCGATTTGCATCTTCGGACGATGTGGGTGAGTGCATCCTATGAAGCTAATCAGCAAGGACAGCTGGAGATTTTGTGAAATGCCACTACCAGGCAGGCACAGACCTGATCAAACATGATTCCCCTACACTCTAAAACAAACGCAATCCCAAAAACGCCGTGTTGGTCATCTTGATGCCAAGCTGCAAAGCCAGCATGCAGTGCTTAGCTGCTAGAAGCCGTTAAGTGGGGAACATCTCAACAAGAAATATACACAAATGGCAAGATCTGAGCATTTCTCTTGATACACCGGAGTGCGATTGGGCAGCAAAGAACAACGTTTTGTTCCAAGAATCGGAGGTCACGACACCCTCAACCCATGAAAACCGACACACCACCCGTCTTAACTCGATGCCTCCACTTCACCCCGGCACATCTGCCTGTCTATACCTGTCTCTATACCTTTCACTCTTTCCAAAGAACGGATGCGCAAGCGCGTGTGGCTTCACCGAAGCAACGGTGACACCCGATCCACCTGATCAGCGTGCGGCTGTGGTGATCACCGACCGTCATGGAGACCGATAGACCGGTCTTGTCATAAAGAACTGCTCATGTCGGGTCTGCCTTTGTAAGGTCCGTTGTTAATTGGCCCCTTTTGTTCTCATATATTATGTATTCTATATATAAATCTCATTTCTTCTCGCAAGCTTGCTTGTTTTGGTGGTAAATTCACTGAGTGACCCTAGGCCCTAGATCAAATCCAAGCGTCGGTCAGCACTTCATAGGTATATGTTTTTGACAAACCTTCAAATTTCCTGTACTTTAGGTAAACCCCTCTCTCTCTCTCTCCTCATCGTTTCTTTCCAATAAAACCTGTCCTAGCTCCACCATCCCCCTCACATCCTCCCAGCCCTAGCAGCCGCCCCTTGCGGCCTCCGAGGCCTTGGTTCTCCGCAGCTCCTTCCGTTGCTGCAGCACCGCGCGCGCGAAGCGCAGCTCCGAGACCTCTACCCCCACGGCCTCCGCGGACGCGGTTGACCGGACGACGGCGGACGGCTCACACAATGCATTTCGAACGTTTTCAATCCACTTTGAACCAGATTTAGTCATCCATTTTTCTAAACCACTTTGAACCCTTTATAGTCATCCATGTCTTCTATATCCATTTTTCTCGAGTGAACTTATGCATGTGACCACATAGCACCAGGATCCTGACACTTTGATCTACCGATCGTGTCGTTGGTGTGTCGCTCTGCGCTTCGCTGCCCTTCGCTTCGCCGGACTGGTCGGGTGGGCTCCTTGGTGGGTCACGACCCATCCCCATTCCATTCCATTCCAACCCGCTCATAGCCCGCTATGCGGATGTACCTAGATCCGACTTAGATCGAATCGATCACGCGAACCTAGCGACGTCTGACTTGCTGCCTACCTAGGCTATATATCCGCCTGACCTAGCCACGAGCACCAATTGGCCAATCAACACCCGGGCCTGAAAAGCTGGTATACCAAGATATAGTATCCATGTTCCGAGGCCCTTGGAGACTGCAGGTATTGAAGTACTGGATCATATGCATGTGTAGTTCTGGTGGAGCATGAGTTTGCATCATGGGACGAACAACTGCTTTCGCAAGCGCAAAGCTGTCTTTAAGGGCTTTCACCATCGCCTCGTTTCTGGCCACATGGTACTCGGCAGCTTTGCAAGAAACATGTGCGACTGCATCCCTCAAGAAAACCCACATATGTTGCATCCATAGTCAATTTTACATGAACCATCCCCCTTGTGGAGGTCTCTGGGATGCGTGATTTCATTGTATAAGGAAAAATCATTTATAAAATGGAAACCCACAGGCTGCTGCTTTATAAAATGAGAACCCGACCTTTTTATATAATGGTGAGTAGCGTTCGGAGAGCAAACAAAACAAAATTTCAGAGGCCTTGGTCGTCACCACTGAACACGGAACATTCCAGGCCTCTGCTGCACTGATCGCCGCTGGTAGTGCCTCGAAGTCGTCGGCCTGGTCGGGGTGTTCATCTTCTCCGGTGGCGAAAGAAGGGGGATTGGGAAGATTTTTTTCCTACTCAAATTTGATCCTCCTGGAGTTTCTGGATATATCCCGGTTTCTAAATATATATATATATACATGTGTTCATTTGATCAAATTTTGATTTTTTAAGGGGTTGGGATGATTGTCGAGTCTAGCTACTCTGAAGGGTAGCGATATTTGCCCTCTATACTCTATGATTTTTTACTCCCCCAGAGTCTATGTTCATTGTCATTGAGATGTGCACAGAACCGCATATGCCTGAACATGGTGGTCGGCGACGATGACGCTCAATACCCCATTGTCACTTGTTGAAGACCCGGGCTTGCCTCACCCATGTGAGTCAGGTGAGTGAACAAAAACTGCTTTTCAAAAGAAGCAACCTGCCATGCTCAAGCGCGACCATATTCAGGCGCTATTCAAACATTTTGTGACACACCTTGCGAAAGAAACATTATGCCCGGAAGCTGCCCAAACCTTCCATCGCTGTAATCCTCTGTACAGGCTTGCACTCTAAGCAGCTGCCCGCTAAAAGCCTCAAGCGCTTGTGTTGCTTTGACCATGCAGCTCGCTCCAGCGAAGGCAGTCACAAAAAGAGGACCAAGCCAAATGACCGCACATCTGCCTTCGTGTTGTACTGTCACCTTTGCAAGAACAACTCTGGAGCCATGAAAGGCAAGGTGCCCACTGGCTCGCTAAGCATGCCTGCGCGGGTGTGGACTGCCAGGCCAAAGTCCGCCAACTTGGTCGTGAATGGCGGATCTTGATTTGATGCCAGGATGTCACATCCCTGTGGGCTATGCCCAGCCGCATGTGCACCAGGGCCATGAGAATGTCTCGTGCCACGGCTGCAAGTGTTTGGGGTGGCAACAGCCCGTTGTAGAGACGGACGCAAGTCGCACTCCATCGGCTCCATGAGGATGCAGGGCCCCACTGTGCCAATCAGGGTCACTACGTGAGGGCACGCGCAAAGAAGCATTGTCCGCGCTTCGTGCTTCAGTTGCTTTGCGAATTCTTCTGTCTGTTGCTTGAGCACCTTCAGCACCACCTGCTGAGCCCCAAAGCGGCCCCTGCACACAATTGCGAAGCCGCCCCCCCGAGCTTGTCCCAGCGCTCGGGCAAGAAGCAGGGAAGCGGGAGCAAAGGCGAGGAGAGGAGGGCGCAAGCGCAAGCTGGAAATAGGGCGGCCGCCTCCTGGGTTGTCTTCGGTGGCCAAACTGGACGCAAAGGTCAACTGAGTCAACACAAAGGGACAAAGCCCCTCAAAACCTGGAGAAACGATGTTGGACGTCTCCATCCAGGACCTGAGCCATTCGTGACCGGAGTCTGACCTCTTCCGCCGCTGGGATCGACCCTTTGGACAGTCACGACTTGAAGGGTCGTGGATGACACAGGGCCTGGGCCGCAGGGCCTTTTGCGTGGCACACGCAGAGTCGAGGACATGTGAGGAAATGCTGGCTTTGGTTATTAAGACGAGTTTGCGATTTTGCCATCGACGAGTTTGCGGCTGTAGCAACATGATCGAAAATCCAAACATCTGGACACCAAAAAAGACCAGACACGGACGATCTCCTCTACAGCTATACGGCTATACATTGGTGACTTCTAGATCCGGAGCCCCCCTTGGCCTCACCACCGACCGCGCACGGACGATCTCCTGAGTTACCGGTTCTTAGCTCATGGAAACCAAGATTCATGGAAACCCAGTATCAAAGTGGGTCTGATTGGGGCTCCTTCAACACATCTGACATAAAACCATCGGACTCAACACATCGGACATCACGCTCCCGCCGTTTCACCCGTGGTCGTTGCCCTCGCGCCGTTTCACCGCCCGTCAGCGGACCGACGACCCCTTCCGAACCTCAACGACTTCGTGCAGCCTTCGCAGCGCCGGAGCCACCAGGCCTGAGCGAGTCGCGGATTCCGAGCGTTCCGCGAGGCGCTGGGTGGGGGGATAGAGCTGGGGGGGGGGCCAGAAGCTGGGCTCTTTAGATGTGTGGGTTTCCGGGCCAAAAATGAGGCTTCACTTGGAAGTGTCAGTGGTGGATTCTAGGGGTCCAAATGTATACCCATCATTTGTTCAAGTATCTAAAATGGGTATCAAGCTAGTAAGGTTCAGAAATCTTCGCAACATTAATTAAGCCCGTCAGTGTTCAAAAGGAACGTGCTGCCTGGATTCAGTGTTCAAACAAAACGCACTGTGAAGCATCAACCAGTGCTTATTGAAGGCGGTGCAGGATGTCGACATTCAACAGCTGTGTTATACAAGAAATACCCGGTAATCAAGTTTTCTATCTCAGGGTGGTGACTCAGGGTTCCTAAAGCAGCTGTGATGGTGTGCCCTCATCTTGCAATCCGCAAGAATCTTCAGGACAACTTTCTACAAGCTTGCTGTATATCTCAAGCTGCTGCAGCTCCTAGTTGGCCATCGTGTACCATTTTCCCGGATTCCTTGGCGCCTGCATCAGGGCCGTGCTGATCCATTGGCACCTGAGCACATGGGATTCGAATCCGCACGCGTTGAGCGTTGGCACCGGCCCTTCCAGTGTCTTGGGCTAACAATCCCATCAAAAGAACAGTCTGCACATGTTGACCCTGATAGTTGGTGGCTCAGAGCAGTGAAAACCCTGCAGAAAACAGTTTTCTGCAGCTGCTAATAGCTGTGCGCCTGACCATCCAGGCAAACACAAGCCACATTAATCTACAAATCGTTTGCACAATTCACACCCAAAGTACGTCTAAGTACATAAGAGGCACATTCAAAAGAGACATGTGCACTCGTTGTGATGGGTCTTTCACCTCCACGAGCAAACTCAACATTTCTGCCACCAGTTCAGACTTGGTGTTGTCAAGGTTATGGGATTCTCCATGGTGAGACGATTGCTTGGAACAAAAACTTTCATGACTGACATGCATTGATTCCACCAAGACCACCCGGGCCGCAGCGTGGAATTGGCGCCGTGCACGCTGTTCTCCGATTTTCCCCGGTGAAAACAGCCCGGACCGGTCCCACCAAATCGATGGGTTCGACCGATGCCTCCCGGATTCGGGTCCAGCGTCGCGGGCAGTGCATCGGGCTCCGATGGTGGTGAAGAGTGGAACTTTCATTGAAAAGGTTCCGATCTTCTCGGGCTCCCTGTTTTCTTCGAAGTCTCTCCAACTAGGAAAGGTTGGCATCGAAGCAGAAGAGTCCAAAAGAGGATAGAGCTTCAGGTGCTTCAAAGCCACAACGATGGATGGAGCCACAGGTGTTGATGTTCCACTAATCTTCAACTACGTCTGTCTGAATGCTCTGAATGCTCCTAATCGTTCGGACGTTGGAGTACACCTCCACAACGACCGATTCTGTTGTTTCCGGATGCTCGTCTTCCAACCCAGCCACCTCAACACCCGGTCCGGTGCGAAGGTCCAGCCTTCTCTCGAGCTTCGTGTAAGACCTCTTCGGCAAAGGCCACCTCGCAGGTTCGGGTCACACCGCACGTTCGGCTCGCTGGGGTCGCGGAATCCGCACGGCTCGGCGCTGGGTCGAGGGGGTTTCCACCCTCATTCAATCTCTACATCGTCACTTGGTGCTGACTGGCGTCTCGACACCTCATACACAATGGGCTATAGTCACTACAGTCTGATCAAGCTTTGAGATGGCATGCGGAACGTTCCCTCAAAGTCTTCTCACATGTTTTCGTCCAGAAATGCATTCTGAATCTGTGAAATGCTATAATTACGGGATGCCCATGGGTTGAGTTGCCTTCTGAAGGCCAATCAACCCATAATGGGCATCCCGTATAGCCCTCACGACTGTTCAGTCGACATGTCAGGCTCGCACCTCTTGTGGTGTCAACCCCACGTACTTCGGCCTCAGTGGATGGGTCCCAGCCTAGCTGAAGATCGCATCAAGTGATGTGGTGGTGATCGCAGAACTGTCACATCTCTAAGTCGCTTGAAACAAAGGAAACTCAGGATATATAATATGATACATCATTTGTCACATATTTGTGTGCATAATTGAAGGATTAAATCCGTAAAGCCTTGAAGCTGGAAACCTGGTGTTGCAACTTGTAACCGGCTTTGGTGGGCACATTGTAGAACAAAACTGGGGCAACTAGAGAGAGCAGGATTTTCTCGTGTTGGGGCTCAACAAGCCGATGTTGTGCTGATTCAAGGCACGTGTTGTGATACTGTAGACTATTCCATGCACTGATTGGTCCTGCGTATTTGCACTGGATGTCTCGAAAATCATTCAGTCTTTGTATAATTGTCCAATTTACTGTTGACTGCACTGGTGGTAGCTTCCATTTCATCGTTCTATCTTGCCTAAGTGACCCCGAAACCATTGAGAAAGGAAGGGCTCTTCATGACTTGCTCCAAAACGCGGACCGGGAGGATCGCATGTTGTATTGTATTTAGATCAACCAACGATCATCCGAGGATGATCAAAAGCATTCATTCTAAGATTTAGCAATTGAGTTCCTATCTTATGCATGAGGAGCCAGGAATTGAATCATGGAAATGGAATGTATATGTCCTTTCTGATGATGGTGGGTTGGCCTCATCCGTCTGTGGGCCTCAACCTTCATGGATCCTCCCAGCTGGGCCCCCTGCTCCACGCATCCTGACATATCCAAAATGACACCCAGACGCCGTCACGCCAAATGGTGCAAGAAGGATAGTACACACAAAGGCCAAAACTCTAGCCTGTGGCCAAACCAAAATCCAATCAAATCATGATACAACCAAAAGCGAGCCATGCTATGCTGCGTCATGCTATGTCATGTCATTGTACCAACAAAAGCGAGCCATACTATGTCCACGTCATGTGTGACAAAAACCAGTGGATGGCCGTTTTCGCAGCTTCCTGCAGTCCGAATTCACGGTGGGTCGTTCGTTCTGCCCGACGCTCGGTTCTCGACCCCACCGCCCCCAGTCGGTGCGGTCGGTGTCGTGGACGCTGGGCGAAAGCTGCACCGGTGCTGAAGGACGGGCGAAGGGAGAAGAAACCGTGGAGGCCCAGACATGAGCCTGGACCATCATATGGGTCTATATATTTTAAAGGGGAGAGCCAACCAATGGGCATGGACTGGACTATTTTCCTTCTTCCAGGTGGTCGAACTGGGAGGTCTCGAATTCCAGACCGGATGGAAGGGGTCGCTGTTTGAAGTGTGGTCGAACACGCTCATCCTGTGACTCCAGCCTGCACGGGGCCACTGGTCCGGCCTAAGCCGAATGACCGGTCCAAAGCCCTGCGGAATCGGCACCAGTCCTACCGGTCCGCCGGACACAGAAGCACAAGGCGCACACCACGGGAAGCACACCCGAACCGGTGGTGCCCCATCAACGCCGATGGTTTGAGGTCAACGTCACACCAGAAGACCGGACCTGTGGTGACGCCCCAGCCAGTGGTGTAGGGATGTGTAGGGTAGTCCAGCCGGGGTCCCAGCAGTACGGTTTTTCTTCCGGACAGGATGGTCCTGGCATGAAACATCTGCTTGGGTCTTCCATCAGACGAACAGCACAGGCAAGTCCCAGACGCGGGACGGTGAGTCCAACTGATTAGAGCTCATTGGCTGCCAAGATCTTCGACGGCGCCTCAACAGTAAACCTATACACCAGCAGTCACAAGACGGGGTGGTGTTTGGTCCCATCCAGTGAGTGGAGTAGCTGGGCACTCCGAACCTCCATGGATCGCACCCCGGACCGCGCGTCCGCGGTCCGAACTGGGGACGCCCCCACGTGGAACGATCAGGGGCCTTGCCGTTGAACGTACAGGGTCCGAAACGCCTGTTTCGTCTCCAGAAAGAGGGGGGTCGATCGTTAGGATCCTATATACCCTAGGGCTCCTGGCCCACCTCCGTTTCGGTTCGATGTTTGGGGTGGGTGCCAGGGGGTTCTAACCACCTTCTGAGATGGGCCAGAAGCGCTAGGGATAGATCATGGTATTTCATGGGACGGGACGTAGCTAGGTTTCAAAGGTTGGAAGATTACGGAGTCGAGTCCTTGCTACAGCATCCACAGCTATGTCTTTCGTCAAGTAGATGAACGGATGCTTTTTGCGGTGCCATGACCTCGGCGGATTTGCCATGTAATGAACAAACATGTGACATGCTTGAGGTCACAAACAACGTTGAACATCCGCAACCCATGGTAGACCTCAAACGATCAAACCTCATTAGCATTGAATAATTCGCACACATCTTGACAGGTTTCACTTGACAAACCCACCCTTCAAAGCAACTTCAGCCACGTGGAAAGCCATGAGGGCTTGGCCCATCCTCTTCTTTCGTTAGCAGGGTGAGGTCCAAAACCATTTTGCCTTGTGTCTGGCACACATGGACCAAGTGACCATCTAGTTCTGACCAAATCCAACAAACCAGGTGCTAGATGTGCACAACAAATATATGTACCCTTTAGACGGCTTTAAGGATACATTTGGGCCTTCTCTACAATTGCTCGGTCTTCAACCAACCCCAACCAACGCATCGCATGCTCTTTCATGTGAGGTCTGTGTTCTTTCGCTTTTTTGCAGAGCTCTGCAAGTACCGTTCGCCCCGCACCCTCCGGATCTGACCCATTTCGGCCCCGGGCGCTTTCGCGCGCATGGAACGCATGGACGAGCCTTCAAAACGGGTGCCAAGGAGATGCTCAACAGAACGAGACCTGCAAAAGGGCTGAGGAAAGGCGAGTGCCGCATCCTCCCGAACGATTGAGGAAACTTACATCAGCTAGATCACCAGTTCAACGTAATTCAACTATATATATATATATAGTAGATTCAACTATTATTGGAAAATCTTTGTGGACTTAATTTTGAATAATTTTGACATATTTTGAACACGGGTCGAATATGTTGGTCAACGGAACAGCAGAAAGATGTCCGCATCACACGTGGATGCAGTTGCGTTCAATTGAGGATCTAGCCATGTTGCCTGGTTCTGGTTGGACTATAATGAGTGACAATGAGTGGGATCCACATGGGCAAGAGGCCGTAGACTTGTGCACAACTCTGTCCGTTGACCCGGCTCCCTCGGATGTTACTAGTAGCTTCTTGTTCCTAGTAATGTCAGGAGCTACGTTCACTTCGCGTCCGAACGCTCCGTTGGTAGCGATGCCCTTTGTCCTTACGTGGTGTCTGTTCAGTCTGACACTCTCTTCCCACGACCTGTCAAAGGTCGATCCCGACCCGTCCGGCCATGTGGCGAACGACACGAAGAGCGCTCATCGACACCAAACGACTGCGACCGATGAGTGTGACTCGTTTGACCACCGACTCACTCGTGACTCGTTGGACGAGAGAAGCTGGTGAGCACCAATTCCAAGCAAAACTCGGATGAGAGACGCTGGTGAGTTCCATCCTCAGTCGCTTTGGAGGTCGATGCGCCACCGGCCGTCACTTCTTCGTGCTCCCAGCTGCGGCAGGCTGCTACAGAACCGAGAGCGCCTAGAAGGGCAGAGGGCCGGTACCAACCAGCCAATATGTACCTGCATGGTAGATGTGGCGTGGACGCTGGTCCAGGAGAGGTGATCAGTCTACATGTGGTGTGGGCAAGTCAGAGTTCAAGTCTTCAAAACAAAGAATTCAAACAAGGACACCACCAACTAATCCCTCAGTGGCTGCCTTGCAGCTAGCGATTGGCTGAGCGCCGGATGCTCAAAGTCATTCCTTTGCATGGGTCCATGGGTGTGCCATAGGCTAGGTATTGACTACGTACATGTTGTTGCCTTTACGATTGCAACATGTTGCAAATCAATGATGTGTCAAATGCTCCACGCCGTGACTAAAAGCTATTAAGGTGCTATAGCTTGCACCCTGGCAGCTGTGAGAGGCCGCTTTTTCCGAAAAAATCGGTCGCAGCGACCTCAGATCATCCGACCTGAGCTCCCAAAGATGGGCCACACTGGCCACACTTTTTTGCGGACAATGGAGAGCTCTGACAGCTGATGTTGAGAGATCTTTCTATTTGGGGAGTCTCGCGACGACAAAGTGGAGTGGACTTGGTGGTGGGTACTCGTGTTCCAAACTATAGCACAGAAAAAAACTCACTTTGTCATCAAATACATGAGGATTTGTACTCCCATAAAATGTTTGTGGCGACTTTAACCATCCCATGTTGCTGTACTCATATATAGTACTGTACTCTTCATGCGGAATACCATTTAGAAGTTCGAGACTTGAGCTCGTCGCAAAAAAGGTTCTAATCTACGCTAAGTGGGACTCTTCTTTATGAAGTTCCAAATTCTTGCGCCTCTGGGTCAATGGGGGAGCTCTTTCAGGTGCCTACAACGTGCATGTGCACAGATTCCGGGATTGAGCTGCACATTTTTCGTGCTCAAGCCGAAGTGATGGCTAGTGATTCCGTTCTTGAGCAACTTGATGAGGTAGGTGGTCTCAAGTCGCCTTTATAACCCCAAGTCGCCCCAAAGCACAAATAGAGGCTCAAGTCGCTCAAAAGCGGCTCAAAAGCTCCAATCTGTGTGTACGCTCCTAGTAGCGATGTCCAAAATGTTCCTACTACTAGCTTCTTGTTACTAGCAGTAAGGCCAGGAGCTACGTTCGGTTCGCGTCCGAACGCTCATGATATGAGTGAGTGTGCGAGCCACATTGAGCCACTCGTTCCTCTTTCAGTTTGGAATACACCGAAGAAAGGACGGACCGTCGATGGTGCCGACGGAGCCGATCACGACGAGTCGACGAGATCGACCGAGTGGCTAATCTCCGCCGCGTGCGTAGTATGCATGATCTGCTGGGCATGCAGTGCTTCTCTTGCAGAAGTTTTTGCTGGTCTTGCTGCACTTACCTGGCCAGGGCACAGAAAAACCATGTTTCTGATTGGAACGTCAGTCGTGCTGCACGTCTCTACGGCTCCACGGACGCGGGGTGTTTCGTGTCGACAAGCCTGACCGACTCATGGACACACCACTCCCTGGAAAGGCCCCGGAAGGAAACGGAAGACGTGGAGGACGTGGAAGGCCCCCGATGTTCGGACCATCAATCCACAGACCAAACAGGTGGTGCCATCCACGTAACCATGTTAGTTCCAGGGAGAGTAAAAATACAACTTTTGATTATACATCTCAAAGGCCATCTTCAGCTGCTAGCTGCTAATAGACTATGAGCTTCTGCCAAAAGAAAGGCCAATGTTTTGGAAACGCATCAACTCTCGTGTGGACCTCGCTTGGGCGTGTCAAGGCCTCTTGAAACCATGGGTTTTGGGGGGTACATTGTGGTGTCTCATGTGAACGTACGCCATCTCGACCTGTTCTGAGACGAACTTCAAGACCATCCGTCCCATGCGTCCTGGTATGTTCGGCGCCTTGGTAACTGTCACAACTTGCTGCTGAGCAAAAGTCCGTGACCAGCGTCCCTCCAGTGAGGAAGCTGAACTTGTTCTTTTCAATCCTGGAGCTCGAGTTGTCCCAGCCCGCGGCAAAAGGCAAGGATCGAAAAATTCCGGAGTTTGGAGCATGTTCATACCAGTCGACAGAAGTCCTGATTCCTTGATGATTTACAACCCCACTCAAAACGAAAAGACATGTTTAGCCGTTGAGCACATCCGCGGATGTCGTTAGATTGTGCTGCTTCCCGACGGGGTGTGATCTTCATGTCCGATTTAAACCAAGACTGACACGTGGTGAGATGATAATGTGAAGGAACATGTATCCGAATCAAACTCACGACGTAGGCATCAATGAATCACAAAAGGACAACAAACAAGCTACTGTAGCATACTGGGGGGATTGAAACACAACCTATATGGTATAGGTAATTGCTTCAAACAATCAAACAACACAGTCAGCATGCATCCAACTGGCAAGAATGTCAATCACATGAATCACCTATATATGCCTATGCTTCAAGTCCAAGGCCCCCCAAACATGTCAAATCAAATGAAAGATGAATCACCCTGACTTGCTACTAGGAGCAAGGACGCTACTAGGGGCTCCTGGCCGTACGACTAGGAACAAGAAGCTACTAGGGGCTCCTGGCATCGCTACGAACGGAGCGATCGGACGCTATGAGGGGAGCCGAGAATCATTTGGCATTTGCAGCAGTCTTTCCCTTGCAGATCCTTTACGGCGGAACCCACACCTGGCGCGCGCCAGCGCTTCAAGCTCGCAAGCTGTCCAAAAGAACACCCGTCTTTCGTTGTGGCAAGCCGTCCGGCAAAGCATGAAACAGGTCAACCATGCAATCCAAGCGGTTTTGCCTGAATTGTCTAAAACATGCTTTATGTACATCCTCACAAGCTCTCAAGCATTGGATAACAACTGGAACGCTAATTTTTAACTAGTCTGCAGGAAGTAAGTTGAACTTTAGAATTCATGTGTTGAACAGTTCCAAACACAAACATGTTTTGGTGCGCGGTGGCTTGCTGCACCTGGACCTCAAGAGAGGCAATGTTGCAAAATGTTTCGGATGTATTTTAACAGCACTTGTTTGAACACTTCAAGAAGTTTGTGGCATTGGAAACCTATCACCCTGGAGGTATTACGGGTATTACACCTTCAAAAAACGCCGCCCGGCTGTTGCATGGAACATGAACCGCCACGTGGCTGTCCCAGTTCCACCGGCGACCCGGTACGAACAAAAACAGGATCCACCTCCTGGAGTCCGGTGGGTTTTTCCGGACACCCCGAATCACCTCTCTACGTTTGAAGGCGAAAAACATAGAAACCCCAACCGGGCCAACCGGGCGTCCAACGTTTTTTTGCGGACATGTCTTGCGGACATGGTGATGCCCGGAAGCAAAACCGCTCGATCCCCCTGGAAGGTCGCGGTCCAACAAACGCGTGAACGGCCAACGAAAAGACACGCCACACGCACCTGCCACAAAGTTGGAAAGCTTCACCTCAGCAGGCGCTGCAGCCGAACGCTACGAAACGGAGAGCACGTGATACACGCAAACATTTTATAAACATCCGCTTGTCACCATCACACCACCGTTGGACAGCTTCCTTCTTCACAACAATATGGAAGCCGGGTACGAACCGGCAGGGGTTCTATCCGGATGTGCGCGCCGGTTGGACTCAATTTGCCGGTTGGTTGGACGGCCATGGCCCTGGCTGGAGATCGAGTGGAAAGGTAGACAGGCGAGCTGGTTCGTGTTGAGCTATAGATATCTTCTAGATTCTTTTATGGGACACAGCTTGGAATGAACTAGGATACATTGGGTGTCTCTTGGGAACTGCGGATGATGTGGCTATTGACCGTGTTTTATGCGCCGGATTCGAACAGAATGCTTCGCCGCAACCTGCGAAGAGTGAAGGGGTGCGAAGATGGGCGAGAGGGTGCGTGGATTGGTTTTGGAAAGCGTTCTTCCTCATAACTCTTAAATGGGTGATCATCAGCCCAAGATGCGTGTTGGGGTGCCGAGTTTTGGTGCTAAGGGGGTGCCCAATGCACACCCATTGAATGTTCCTGATATATTTATATATATGTATTATCCTTACGGATCAATGACTCCGTTTTACTGCGTCGCATTTTCCACAAAAGTTGCAAGAAAATGTGACTAACAAAAACTTTTGTTACTCGAAAGTTTTTATCGTATTTTCCTAAGTTTTTTCTATATTTAACTCGTTGGTGTTGTATATATAAAGAGGTCTATCCCTATTTGAAGGCAAAAGGCAAAAGAGCTGGGTGGTACCTACAAGCCTCTCATGCCTTTGGAGGAGCCTTGCTAATTCGGACCTAAATTAGTGAGCAGGTGCCAGTCTACACGTTCACCCCTTTACCGTGACTCTAGCGTGACGGTAGCGTGACTCTACCGTGACTCTAGCGTGACTCCCCCCCTTGCTCGAAGTTTTGTTTAACAAAATCTTTAAAGACACAAGTCTTGTGTATATAAAAAACTCTGACTCTACCGTGACTCTAGCGTGACTGTAGCGTGACTCTACCGTGACTCTAGCGTGACTCCCGCCTTGCTCGAAGTTTTGTTTAACAAAAACTTTAAATCCGCCGACCCCACTCGTGGGGTCAGGCGTGGCTGTTGATGAAGGCTAAGGCCATGATTAAGGCTAAGGCTATACCTCCCCTACCCCTCCGGAGCCTTGTTGCAGTGACGAAAAGTACCCGGGATTTGTGCAAGAGTTGCGCAAGATGTGTCCAAGATTTTGCCAAATGTATTGGTTTGCTTCTTACTGGGGATTGGGGCACCCTCTCCACCCGCGCGGGAAAATAAGCACGGTCCCTAAATGGTCCCGGGCTCGAATCCCGGGCTGGTCGCAGCCTGGTCCCTGCCAGTGCCCTTGGTTTTTCCTAGATGTTGTAACGTTTTCCGCTGGATTTCTAGGATTTTCAAAGGTTTTGGTAAGATTTACTCATGCCCTTCAGGCCTTTTGCGAGGGTGTTTTCCAGCATTTCCTCTGGTTTCTCTAGGTACTTGTGAAGGCTCCGTGTTGTTTTTTGGGTTCCCAGATTTGCAAAGAAACATGCTAACCCATTTTCCTCCATTTGCAAACGATTTCCGCTGGATTTCTATGATTTTCTAAGGTTTTTCTAAGCTTTACTCATGCCTTTCATGCCTTTGCGAGGGTTTTTCCAGGATTTTTTCTCTGGTGTTTCTAGATAGTTCTGTGGTTGTCTAGGGGCTCCATGTTGTTTTTTGGGTTCCCAGATTTTCAAAGAAAAATGCTAACCCATTTGCCGTGCTCTCTTCTGCCTACTTTGGTGATGCAGTGACAGATCATGTCTCTAGGGGTTCCGTGTTGTTTTTTGGGTGCCCCGATTTTTCGAAAAAACTCTTAACCCATTAAACCTAGGCCATCCACTTCCCTGGGGGTCGGCGGCTGCCAGGCGTTAGCCTGGTTAAATAAACAAGTATTGTATATAAAGAACTGTGACTCTACCGTGACTCTAGCGTGACTGTAGCATGACTCCCCCCTTGCTCGAAGCTTTGTTTAACAAAAACTTTAAAGAAACAAGTTTTGTATATAAAAAACTGTGACTCTAGCCCCTGCAATGCACATGTGTAGCCAGGGATCGTCAACTCTGGAGGGCAGCATACTCAGCGGTATGCGGTTAAAATTGCACGCGTGAAGCTTGCGATTGCCAAGACGAGATTGGCGCGTGTGGATGTTTACAACGCATGGTGCAGGTAAAAAGGCGCTATTGAACTTGTTTTTCCCCACCTGCCAGGTGAGGGTTGTTAGATTTTATGTTAGCTGACTTCTCCTTCTCCTCCTCCTCCTTCTTCTTCCCCTCCTCGCCGGACCTCAACCACGACCATCCACGCCCAGTGTTCCCTGCCGGACCTCAACCACGACCATCCGCGCCCAGTGTTCCCCGCCGGACCTCAACAACAGCACACAACAACAAACACATAACCACAAACACACAACCACAAACACAGCCAGAAGCACACAATCACAAACACAAAATCACAATCACAAACACAGTCACACAACTACAAACACAACTACAAAGACACAATCGCAAACACATAACCACAAACACAACCGCAAACACAACTAGAAACACACAACCAGAGACACACACAATCTCAAACACACAATCGCAAACACAATCACAAGCACAAAACCACAAACATAACCGCAAACACACAACTACAAACACAACTACGAAGACACGATCACACACACACAACCACAAACACAATCACAAACACACAACCACAAACACACAACTGCAAACACAACCACAAACAAACAACCACAAACACGAACCACAAACACACAACCACAATCACGCAACCACAAACACACAACCACAAACACACAACAACAATCACAAACCACAAACACAACCACAAAAGCACAACCGCAACCACAACCACAAACACACAGCCACAAACACACAACCACAAACACACAAAGACACAAAGACACAACAACAACAACAACAACAACAACAACAACAACAACAACAAAAACAACAGCAACAACAACAACAACAACCACAACCACAACCACAGCCACAACCACAACCACAACCACAACTACAAACACTACCACTACCACTACCACTACCAGTACCACACACAATCACAAACATAACCACAAGCACACAACTACAAACACATAACCAAAAACACAACTAGAAACACACAACCAGAAACACACAATCACAAACACACAGTCACAAACACAATATCACAAACACAATATCACAAACACACAACCACAAACACACAACCACCAACACAAAGCCACAAACACACAACCACAAACACACAACCACAAACACAATCACAAACGCACAACCACAAACACAACCACAGCCACAATCACAAACACGCAATGACAAGCACGCAACCACAAACACAACCACAGCCTCAACGACAAAGACGCAACCACAAGCACAACCACAAACGCAATCACAAACGCAACCACAAACACACAACCACAAACACACAGCCACTACCACTACCACTACCACTACTACTAACAAATAGTAATAAATAGTAATACTACCACTTGGGCCACCCAGTACGACTACTACTGAAATGATCTGAGTTGTATTGTTAGTTGGGCGCAGGTCTCCTGATGAAAGCATTCGCTTCGGACAAAACAGTAAGACTTGGCGCTGAAGGACTTGTGCTATGGGCTGAAATACACAACAAGGTTGATGTCAACGTGGTTGTTTTGAAATGCCATGGTGGGGATCACTCGAAGTAAAGTAATTTGTTGAAAAATGTGCTGCCAGGACTTAATTAAGACATATATCTATCAACTTTTAACACGTTTTTAACGAAACTGTCTTAACGAAGTTTTTGAGCGACGAATAACATATGATGCCGTTAAACTGCGTCGCATTTCGTACATCCAAGGAAAACTGCGTCGTTGGATGTGTAGGGTATATATATATATATCCAGGACCCAGGACCTTCAAAGTGACCTCTTTGGAGTCTCTAAGTGACCTCTTTAGGGACTAAGTGACCTCATTCTAGGATCTCAAGTTAGGTAACTTTGAAGGTCCTGGTACACAATTATATACATTGGTGTATACATAATGCCTATACATGTTGAACTGCTTTTGAACCACCTCTGCCCCGATCGGCCAGTCCAACGGGTTGATGCTCCAGCTGGTGGTATAGGAAGGGCGTGACCGCTGCAAAAAGTGCAACGCACACATCCGGATGGAAAGAAGCTATCCTCATGAATCCGCAAAACTATCCGAATACACAAGCGATGAAGAACTCTACCAGTCAGTCTCCTTCACACATGGCGTATACTTTTTCAATAGGGAGACCTCCCAGGCAGTTCGACACCCCGACGATCTGATCAGATCCGTCTATACCGGGCCCAGGGTGTTTCACTTTGGGAGAGCCGACCAGGTTAGCAGGCCTTGACCAGAAAGAAACGAGATCCGTCTACCCGGGCCCTGGGAGGTCGGAACTGCCGGGGAGGTCCCTTTCAACGTTCCCAGATCCGAAGAAGAGCGTATTCATCTGCAGACTCTGACTCTTTCAACGTTAGGAACTTCCGCAGATCTGCAGAGGCCTCGAGCTAACATAGCTAACGACGTCGCATGTTTTGTACCTGTCACTCAAACTTTGGCGAGGAAAACAGGGGAAGAAACAATAGGGCTGTCCAATTTGTCCAATGGAGGGTCGTCTGTGAACTGTATCAGACCTGTGAACCTGTCCAGTTGAGAATTCAAGGGCTCTATAAACTCCGCTGACCTAACAAAACAAGCAAAACAACAACTCTCCCATGTTTCTGCCGCCAAAACCAATCAACACCCTAAATTACAGCTCACTCGCCCCCCCAGTGATTCGATAAGTCACGAATTGCTCCTTCTTCCACTGCTCTCGTCGTTCCGCGTTCTTCGCACGATTCCTTGCCCTGGGGCGTTGATTCATTCAGTTCCACTTGAGAGAAAAGCACCAAAAGCATCACACAAATGTTCATATTTAGTGGGGGGTGCTCAATCCCCGAAAAAAGGTTTTGCAGGATTTTGCAGGTTATCCCATTTTCCTGGGTAGATCACCTACCACATGTTTTTTTCGCCTGAATCATTTGGGGACATCAAATGTAAGGTTTTGCCATTTTGCATGGAGAAAAAGTCCATCAAGTACACTAGTCGGCGGTCTGCAATTTTGAAAACATAAATCGACTACCAGACTTGGAGAAAGTGGGTTCTATCTGCCAAAAAAACAACACTGCTTATCCCACCAGGCGGGTACAGGAATCCAAGTTTTGGATTGTTTTAGCTGCATGTGTTCGAAGCGAAACTTGGATCCTAGATCCTGTCGACGGCTCTGAACCCTTTATCTCGGATCTGGATAGATCAGGACCACACGTAGTGCTGATCCAAAAGCCTCCAGCGCATCTGATAAAAATCACGACATATATATATATATTCATACAGTTCACATCAGTTAACAAAAGCAATACATGCTTTTGTGCCAAACCACATTCGCGTGCAAACTAATCCAAAAAAACATTGAAAATAACAAACAAACATGCATCGTGGAAGCTTTACGCATAGATGTTCTGTATAGTACTGCCAACTGGAAACATACAACTACACGGTCAAACCTCCGCCGACACGGTGCCCGGCCGCACCGTGAACCCCGGTGGTTGAAAAAAGAACACCGACACGGTGAGGGCCGCAGCCTCGCGCGACGCACGGTGAGCGACGGTCTTTCGCCAGGGGACTTGTCTCTGGCGCGCAGCTCTTGAATGAACTTCTCACCTCATCGCAGCGTCCGTTCGAAATCGACCACGAAGGACGTGAAAGAACCCGTGACTTCTCGTCCGACGGTAGCAGAGCGTAGCAAAGTGCGAGGCTGGGGTTGATCTCTTTTTTGTGGAGGTAGCTCCAGAAGTGGCGCTCTGACCCCCTCGGACGAGGGCAATGAGGGATTATCGAGCAAAACCCATTCCCTACACCGACTTCGTCGTACCTCCGAAACGAAGGTATGACTGGACCCGAACATGGCACCCACCCCAGTCCCACTGAAACGAAACGAAGGTACGACTGAAGGCGTAGGGATTGGTTCTCCCTCTTTAAATTCTCCATGTGTTCCCCCCCAATTTGGTCTCTGACGGATCTGAGGACTCCTCCACATTCGCCTAGCACATGGGCCACCGGCAGCTTCGACTCAAGCGTGCCGGTGGCGTGGCATGGGTTTCGCGTTGGAACGTCGGTTGCGGTTGCGGAGAAGAACCCGGACCCTGGGACCTGGGCCACGCGTGGAACCCATCGAAAGACACGGCATCAACCGCCCCGTTGGGCATCGTCGGACACCGTGGCATGCTGAGGGGCGATCCAGTTCTTTTGCTTCCACCTTCTTGGAAAGCTTCGCATAGTATTCTTCCACTGTCCTCAGTCTTCTTTCTCACACACACTCGAGCTGTGGACGCCACACCCGTCCGGTCTGGGCGCCCCCGTGGCACACTGGACCGCCCGGACCGTACTGGTTTGTAGCTGAAAAATGCTGAACACTACTCTTCAAAGAGTCCCGGTGTGGCCACCACGAGACGTTGCATTGAGGTCGTCCAGCATGATCCTGCACTACTCCTGCACTATAGTTCAGGGCTGTCCTTGCCAGTTGTCCTTTCAAGACGACCTCAACAGTCAAGAGAAAACATGTCGGAGGAAGAAAGCCTCTACATGACTCGAATGCCCAGTATACCACCCAGTGCGCACGACCGTTCCGAAGAAAATGGCCATGTTCTATAAGGGTCCGAATGATCCCTGCAGAGCCAAGTGATGTTTCCACGCCAAGCTTCACCTCCTGATTGCTCTTCTTCTTTTTACCCAACAGCTTCGATGTCCATCCAGACTTTTGGGACGTCGCCTCCGCCTGTCGGCAGACGGCAGATCCGAGATCCTGTCCGCTGCTATCCGCGGTCCGCGATCCGGCCGCGTGGGATCCGGTATGTTCCATGGAGTGCGCAGAGGCGCAGAGCATCGAAAATGCACTTAGCCCTAAAATCCAAAGCCACGCGTAGCTCGAATGATTGCTGACTAGAACTGCAAGTTCCACGCCCGCGGTCTAGCTGTCAAGATGCACACCCCGGCGGTCCGCGTCTGAAGGCGGCCGTCTTTGCTCCGCCAGAACATCTCCGGCCCAAGCCTAAGGGCCACAGACTGGACTCCTAACTGCTCTAGGCACCAGTTTGGAGCGAACTCGCGAACTCTTGTGGCCTCCCCCGCGGTGATGGACGAGAGCCGAAGAAGTGCCACACCGCCGGTGAACAACTTCTCCCCCACTTGTGGGGCGACCACCACATCCCCAGCAAGCACGTCAGCCCACTTGTTAGCCTACATGCCTTGCTGTCAGACATCGCGACCGGCAAGGCGTTGGCCCCAAGGATGCTACACGCCAGCGGTACACCAACTGCTGCTGGGCTCTCTATAACGGAATGCCGTTTCACAGTTGTCAGGGTTGACGCCATCATATATCAGCATTACCCTGTATGGCGTCAGCTTGAAGCAAGCTGAAACATTTGGGCAGTTGCTGGTCCCCACCCAAGCTGCAACACGAAGGGTTACCCCTTCCCGACTACGAGACGCGACCAGGCCATTCGGTGGTGAAACATGACCGAAATGGTGAAGACATTAAGTCACTAAAGCTATACCTGGACCCGACGTTATAGAAAATGTGACGATGTGATTACAAAGTACAAAAAGAGACTATATATAGAGGTATCTCGTCACTACATATAGAACTATATATATATATATATAGAATTCCCAACACTGTAAGTTTCCTGCACATGCATTGTATAACGATATATATATATATATACCTATACCAAAAAACAGGGTTTCTGGTATATGAGACACCCTGACATCTTCTCTGCTTCGGGGCCCCTGACCATGGTCATACGTAGAGACCGCCTTCTGCCTTGAGGCCTTGAGACCGCGGCGGGGGTGCTCATGATCCATCCATCGGGTCCATTGGGCACATGGTGCCCGCCTTCAAGTCTTCCACGCAAGCCTCGGTGAGGATGCCGTGGTATGCATTTTGTCCAGAGGTGATGTGACCTCATATAGGATCCTATACTGAGTACTGAGGTACCTGTGGAATAGTCGAACTAGGGTTCTTCAACGCCCGAAATTCCATGTCCCAGACACTTGGGACTCCAAGATTGGCCGATTGGTTCGCACTCCTAAAAATGGGGGCCCCAGTCGTACCCTAGGTCCAAGGGTCACTATGAATCTCGGTATCAGGTGTCTCAACTCTCCTTTCGCAGCTTGCGCGCTCAGAATGAGGGTATACCTGATACCTGGATGCGACTTGAAGTAGCTTTAAAAGTGGGACGTGACGTAACCTATATATATAAATATATTGTACCCTATGCTTCCAAAGACTATACTTAGTATAGGCGATGTACCTGAAATCATGGTCACGCTGGTCACGCCCCCCACCCACATTCATGCATCCTTTTGCTCCGCATCCCTCACTTCAAGATCGTGACGCTGCAGAGTGGTTCAACCTGGACGATCGGGATATGAGGGTGGAATTCATGAAAGACACCTCGCTTTAGTATACATCCAAGTCTAGTTTCAAAAAGCAGCCTAGAAGCTCTTGAATTTTCCACTTCATCGACCACAATCGCAGCTTACAAATCTTCAATGGCCATGAACGTTGATGGAGTGGGTGGGCTCTAAGTATTGTTCCTCAGATGTGCTTTTACCACATGTGCACATACTAGGCACAGCACGCTGCAGAAGACAAAACAAAAAGTCCGGTATACCATACACCGTGCTAGCACCACAACATACAATGGAAAGCTGCCCTTGAGAAGTCCCATGGCGTCCTCGTCCTGGAAGCAATGGTAGTGTCGTGGGTTGGCACCTCGAAGCTTGGCAATTAAGCTCACACGAAGCCATGCAACCATGCATGAGCAATTTAATACCTTGTCCAGCAGCGCTGGGTTTAAAGTCGATGTCTTGTAATGTCGATCTTTGTACTCGCTTATATAACGGACCGCGTTCATGCATGTTCTAACTATTTGACCCACCCTTGATGCGATTTCACACCAAGTAGCGGTAAAGTCTGATGGACTTCAAAAAATGGATCATCACCTGAGAACCGCAGCATTGGCCACTGTGGCGGCCACGAATTCGATTCTTATTTGCATAGATAAGGAGGGCATCTAGCCTATTGAGGCAAGTCGCATGGAGTTTTGGACGGATAATGAAGTGGTTCTGATTGCCCCTGAATGAAATCATTTGGCAAAAGCTCTTGTGTGCGTGCATGTCGTTGACCTTGCTTCTAAACCCTCACACGGAGCCACGCCTGAAGCTCATGTCAGATAGAACCAGATGCGCTCTCACAAAGGTGATTCCTTCAGAGTAAAGCGAAGCTGATTGAGAAGGTGTCCTAAGCTGGGCTGTAGGGCTGTGGGGTCCAAAGAAGAAGACATCTATCGATACAAGCACCTCGATCCGCACAATGTTCTTTCAGAAATCTTTCATCAGATGGCACCGAGTCACAAAAAGCGGCCACAGCGCTCCATCATGCCAAAGAAACTTGCCAAGCTGTTCCTGAGATTCCCATGCCATCCATGATTTGTAACCGTACACGACCAGGACTTAGGAATGTGAACACAATCGCAGCACTGCAGTAAGTACCTCTGTGAGTGTACCTTCTTTGTTTTTTACTGCCAAGTTGAATCGAGCATCATAGCAAGGAACATGTATTCAACCCTGGGGTCTGGAGCATTGATTCGGGCAGCCTTGAGGATATGAGCGAGCCACTCCAATATGACTCTGTTGTTGAACGCCTTCCCCGTCATCAAGATCTCGTCATGTTTTTTCAGAATCTTAGCCGCAAGCTTGCTGAGGCATTTCAATTTAATGCATGCATATTTATGCAGGCATGTTGAAACATACTTCGCACATAAATAAATAAACACAGGCGTGTACGCTCAACCATGTAGCCAACTTCACTGAGAAGGGGGGCTGCGAACAAGTAATCTTCCTGACTTTCAGAAATGCCTTGAAGTCTTTGAAAGCGTTGTCCAACCGCTTTTGCAGCGGCAGCTGCGCGTCCCCAAACCATGACATCTCCAATAATGCCATCCTTAACCAGCTCAGATTCACATTTTCATTCGCACCCCAAAGGAAGTAAACTCTGCGGTGATGAGGGTTGCAGGTTAGCCAACCAAGACTCAAAGAGCAGCCATTCATGGAATACAACAGGCCCAGGTTCAAGGAATGCATTGAGCAGAACGAAATTATATGGTGATGAAAGCCAGCAAGTCCAAGCAATGGACCTGGAGAGGGATTGGGAAGGGTCTTGTGGAGGTCAGTCCATGAATCTCTATGGGATGAACGAGATTGTTCTGAACACTGATTCGGGTTTAATTCAGCCCAGGGTACATACATCATGCTGGGGCAACTGCTTGTTGATGAACTCACACAACGAATATTCTGCGGGTATCTCATTGCCTTCATGCACCCTGTAGTAAGCCAACCGCCCCGCGTTGGTGGTTTCACACAAATGACATGTAGACTCATTGACACCACCCTTCCAGCTTGCCCTGAATTTCCACACTTGTTTGTGCCATAGCTGGTCACCTCTGAGTTCAGTGACCGCAAAGCGCCGGTTCGGGATGATTTCTTTACCTGCCAATTCCGGATCGAATGGTTGTCCATATGCATTCGTCTGTGGATAACGGCCAACAAATAGAAGGTTGACGCTCCATGTGATGCGACGGAGTGCACAATACAAAGTATCATTCCGAAACAGGTGTTTCTCGTCAATGCTCCAAATCAGCCACCTGCTCATTCTGATGCTCCGAGGCCTAAACAATGGAAGACTGATGAAAACTCCTAGGGCCTTTTGTACTTCAGCAAATGCCGGCTGCCTGATCCTGGCTGCATCCCCGTAAATCCCCAGTGGGATGTGCTCTCTTGAAGCACTTGTGTGGCAAGCCCATGGTGATTCCAAGCCGCGATAGTGATCCCAGAACTCATGGACCTTGTCCATTGAAATCTGAAGCCCCACTTCCACAAACAAGAAGCGGATGATTTCATATGGCTCCAGCATCTCAAGAGTTTCCATGTCATACCCACGATCATTCTTTGGGTTCCGAACGGGCGCCCTGAACTTTACTGTTTCCTGACTGTGCTAAACGATTGAACTGCCGCCAATAACAAAACATCCAGGGCAGCACACCTACAACACCGTCTATAACATTTAAAGTCGAGCTTTCGATTACCAAAAACGGGAGAAAATGTAGAAACATGAGCCACGTTTCGATTGGCACTTTGGTAAATCTCCAAAAGTCACGGGCTGTATTCCACCTCGACGATTTCCCAAGCTTATAGCTCTCTGGGTGCACATTGTTTCGACCACTCTCCTTGAAGGAGCATTCATAAGCCAGCCCCAGACCCAAAACAAGATGCCGTGAAACATAATCAGCATGCCCCGAAGACTGCCGTTTCTGCCAATTTGATTTGCTTTGAGGAACGAATGCGACCCGGTCGCCAACAAGTGCTTCTTGGCGCCTCGCATGGCCCTTCTGATGCTCGAAGCCTTAAGTGGGGTTGAACAGGGGAACCACTCGGAGCACCATTTTCAAGGTTTGTTCTGACTAGGGAGACGGAGATAGACTGAGACTGCAAGCATTGATTGTGCCTGTTGGCAGTGAGAAAGTATCTGCATATGCATGGTCAATTCAAAATACACATGGAGCACTGTTGGTTTATCTCACGTATATGAGATTCCGAACGGCCATCAAATTTAAGATTGGTGGAACTTGATGCCATGGCTGATAACAAAGACGATCGATAATTTATAAAGAAGTTCACTACTTGGGTCCAACACTCACCCAGCCAAGGCTCTCCAGATGCAACTTCATCGGCAACGTGTTGAGCGTACAAAGGCTGGGCGCCACGGTCATCATCTGCGAAGGGGTCGGTAGAGTCAAGGAGAAAACGACAAGTGTGCATGTGTGGCTAGCCACGCAGGCCTTTTTAGATGCATCCCTCCCCTGGCATCTCTGTGACACGAACTGCAATTGATGTTGCGTGACTAGCCGTGCACACGTGATCACACGTGTTGGCAGCGTGGAAAACCCACTGCCCAACAAGGAGATTGAGCACCAATGTGATGGTGCACACCCATCTCAGCCATGTTTCATGCCAAACCTATTTCAACTTTGGCCATTGGCCCTGAAAAGTTAGACATATGAAATTGAGAAGTAGCAGCGTCTTTCACCGATTCGCTGAGATGAAATTGCAAAATGTCGGGTGGCTACAAATCACCACAAAGCCTTGGCATTTTTGTAGGCCTTCAGAGTGGATTCAGCCGTGCAAGCACATGGTTTCATCTTAGACACCTGCGCAGCAAATGCAACGGTCTATCATGATGTTATTTCTCCGTGACTTGCAAGAAGAAGGATAGACTAGATTCACATGTTTCTGATCGAATTTGCTGTTCTATATCCTGCAAGTTCCATTCACGAGTCCAAAAAGCTTATATAATCTTGATTTGCCTCCTCCAAAGGTTTGGTTCAAAATTTGCCCCCGCCAGCGCAGCCTCATCGCGCTCGAAGGCTTCAAGAAGAGGCTTGCGCGCTTGCTCCAGCCTGGACTTCCAAGAGGCCAGCTCAGCAGTCATTGCCGCTTTCATGCTTTCCGACCTTGAACCCAGTGCCGCACTGGAAGTCATGAGTCACATCGAAGGGGGATGGATCATTGTAAGAATATCGATGAGAATTTGGTTGTTTATCGGTGAGGTTGGAAAATGGACAAACATATTTGATATCCCATTCTTTTAAGCACATATCCTTTAAGCTTTACAAAGATCATCGAATAAATGGGAAAAGGACATGTTTGGCGCACACAGCACACAGTTCATGTGTGTTCATTGTACTATAGCCTTGCTTCGATGGACATTGTGGTATGCTGCCAACGGTGGCATGCTGGAACAAATCCGAGGTCGCTGCATGGAGCTGCACTTCGCCTCCCGCTTCGAGATGTCCT